AGCTTCTTCTTACAGTTTTCCCGGATTCCTTTCTGAACTTGCTAAACTCGGTAGGGTCGGTTGCACAAAGGTAGGCCTCCTTGGCATGCACAGGATAGAACCGCTCACATAACTTAACCTTCAGGTCTTCTCAATTGAACTCCAGATCCTGTCTACAGACTAGCCTTTCAAGCATCCACTATAAGTCCGCTTCTTGTCGAGGGTAGAACGTAGCTAACTGTTCACTTGGCGATCCTCCGGGCAAACCACAGCTTCGAAGATCTTGCACGACGTCTCGATGATGCCATCCTCGACTTCTACAGCAACAGTAGAACACGGGAGGAAACTCATGGCCCGCACCGTTACCTGGTGCCTTAACTAAAGAGAACCAAAACTAAAAGGAAAATAAAGCACAGACAGCACAACAAAAAACGATAAGAGAACTCACAACCTCACCGCGCAACCTAGAGTCCTAAGCCTAACACTTAGATTCTTAAGGTCGCTTAAAGGTCTCAAACCACACTTAGCCACTTAGAAAGTCTAGACTTAACCCATCCTAGGCTCAAAACCAAGGCTCTGATACAAACTGTAACACCCCCCAAAACACGACCTATATAAAAGGCCTTAACACCTGCAGATCAAACAACAAAACTAGCACATGGGAAGATAAACGAGAACTGGATAAAAGAAATCCAAACGGGGTGTTACGCCACGTCTACCACACACGGTAAACGCTACGACGATCAATCTGCAAGTGTATACATCTATCCCAAAGACATCAGTCTAAAACTACATTTGGCGCACATGCCACAAAACAAGGATCAAGGTACTAAGCTACCAGGCACTAGACATCGCGCTCGTCTAAACATCACCTGAAAGATACAAAGATAAACATTGGGACGACGCCCGGTCAGCAATAATGCTGGTAACCCACCAATACATGTGAAATATCATACATAGATAGATATAAGTGGTAAAACCATTTTCGAAACTGAATACATAAGTATATAAGTCAAAAGCCAAGATCAACAGTCAACACAAGACTCATCACTCACAAGGATAACACGGGAACACATCCCAAACCTCAAAGGTTAACCACAACGCAAAGGAATAAGACTCAACCAACGGCAACACTTGCCAAAGCAACACATGCCTCCGTGACTACACACGTCACGAGAAAAGAACACACAACGCCGGCTATACAAGCCCTCACAACATCACCCATCACGAGTTGATATGCCTTCCTTATGCCCGGTTCCAACCTTATGGCTACCCCCAACCTTATATCTTCTTCCAACCATTACCTCCAGGACCCCTGTACTTCTTAGTCCAACCTTATTCCCCCGGGACCGTCGTCCCCCACCAACGACCACCAACAAGACCACCAATTCATAGTACACAAGGTACCATACAGGGCAACACATGCCCGGATAACACATGTTATCCCCCAAAAATGTGAACCTTACACAAAGGCCACAACTCCATAATCACGTCACGGCCACCACGTGAACCGCTGCAATACCTTGGTGACTAGTGTCCCATACCACTAATCGTGCAATCCAGGTAAATCCACACACGCACCACAACTCAACAAGAGTCAAACAACGGATCACAACGAAGGTATGAATCATACTCAATCAAGGAACGGGTCACAGCCCAACAACATCAACGATGAATAACACAAGTTATCATCAACCAAATGGAAGGTACAAACAACACACACGCTAGCATTAAGACAATAAACTAGCATGCTTGACAACGGAGAAACTCAAGATAGTTCCGAGGAACACACAAGACACCTCTTGGTCCAACGAAACACAATGTTGAACACTTAGCACGATTCAAAACACCAAAGTCCTACATGGATACCTACCATATAGTTCTAGACATACGAAACATCAAGAAGACACTCAAATAGTTCCACAAAAGAACATCGGGAAGTCAAAAGACCAAATACCGAGTCAACCGAATCACGGGGAACAAATCCCGATCCACCTCCACTGCGTTCCCCGCGGGTGGACCCACGGGTAGGCTCCCACCCGTGGTTCCGCCCGCGGGTACACTACCACGAGGCTACATGTTCCCCGCGGGTGGAGCTCGACCCGTCGTTCCGCCCGCCAGTACATATACTTGTGCAAAATAATCCCTTCGGGGATTTTCTTCTCCAAACACCAATTCAAGTCCAAAACATGTCAAATCTCACCCAATACAATAAAATGACTTGAATCACGGAAAATTCCAAGCAATGGCACAAAGGAACCCTAAACACAAGCTCTCGATATGCAATATCACAAGACAAATGCATAAACCCTCTCATTTCATAGTAAAAGACATGTAGAATCCAAGAAATCACATATAGGTAAGCAAAATAGGTTTTGTAGAGCATGGGTTACCTCTTGTAGACCAAACGACTTCACTTTACACCACAACAAGCTCCCCACAAGGCTTACTTTCCAAACCCACTTCAAGATTAAACCAAAAGATCATAAAGATCTTACCTTTAAGAAAAAGACAACTAAGATGGAACCAAAAACATAAGATGAACTTAGATCTTACCCTCCTAGATGCCCAAATAGGTGAAAGGTTGAATCTTAATTGGAAGAAAATCTTGGAATCTTGACAAGGGTCTCAACTTAGCTTGGAGAATAAGCTACACTTCTTTTCTAGAGAGAAGGTAGAGCTATTGTCTAGGAATTGTAAGGAATGAAATGAAGAAGTCTTCTAGGTTAGGTTACAATATTAACTCTTGGTGAAAAGTCAAGAATACCCTTACTAACCTTTAGAAAGTGTAAAGAAAAAGGGAACTCCCCTCAAAGCTCAAGGTACAACACAACTTTAAGGTTGACTAGTCAAATACTAGTCCTTCAGTATTAATAATCAGGATTTTAGGAATTAATTCTTAAAATAAAATAGGATTAATTATTCAATTAATCCATAGATTGAATTTGGATTTTTGGGGTGTCACATGGGTGGCCCATGGAAGACGTTCTACAGAGTGCGTGTTTCGGTACCGATGGACAAACCCGTTAAAACGCTGAATGAAACTGATACGCCGGGATAAGTCCTGGAGTTGGGTGAATCTGAAGTAGGAACGGTTAACTTCTGTTTTTGTTGTGGTTTGCTAGGACATCTTGACAGCTTCTGTGCAAAGGCATGGGTTTCCAATATCAAACCAGAGTTTTACCCGTACGTGACATGGATGAGAATGGGACAGACCAGGGGTCCGAGACCGGTGGGGGAGTCTTGAAGCCTCACGGATAATGACGATGGGGCAGACGCGGTTATGACATCTATGAGGGAGGGGGCGGAGGAGGGTGTCACGGCCTCTTCCAAAAGATGGAGGGCGGTGGTTGGGGGGCTGAGTGAGTCGGCCCCGGTGTTAGATGGTGGAATGGAGGAAAATAGTGGTTCAAAAAATTTGCACATGGCGGGTCTTGGTTCCAGACCCGCCCGATCCAATGAGTACCCTAAGCTGGAACTGTCATGGTTTGGGCAACCCACGCACAGTTCGTGAGTTGGTGGACATGGTGTCTCGGAAAAAGCCTGATTTCATCTACCTAATGGAAACCGAGGTAGGTCGAGATCATGCGAAACGTGTACGTGTTTAGATTGGTTTCGAAGGCTTATTTTTTGTTGATAATGATGGCTTGAGTGGTGGACTTGCATTGTTATGGAGAAGCAATAATACGGAAAGGCTTATATGTTATTCCGCTAATCACATTGACATAGAAGTTAGTATGACGGGCTTTCCAAAGTAGAGGCTCACCTCTTATTATGGCTACCCCGAACGTCACCGACGCACTGAAGCGTGGGATCTCATTAAGTCTCTTGCGCCCAAGTCTGACCTACCATGGGTTATGCTTGGTGATTTCAATGATCTCTTATATCAGCATGAGAAGAAAGGGGGAAATCCACACCCGAATACGCTGTTGCGGGGCTTTGGGGAAGCTATTGAGCACTGTGGGTTGTCCTAGTTGCCAATGGAAGGATATCAGTATACATGGGAGAAGGGGAAGGGCACGGATCGGCGGATAGGGGAGAGGCTGGATAAGGTGTTAACCACGAGTACCTGGAGTAGCATTGTTCCAGGAGCAGGAGTCACTAATATTTTAACGCGAAAATCAGATCATTCAGCTTTGTTCCTTGGTTTTCATGATCCAATGGGTACAAGGGGACCATATAAGAAACGTTTTCAGTTTGAGATGGCCTGGTTATATGATCAGGGGTGCAGGTCTGTTGTGGAAAATTCATGGAACGAGGGCATGGGTGGTGACTTATAGGAACGTGTTATGCGATGTGGAGAAAGATTATCTCGTTGGGGGGGGGGGGGGGGGTGACCGGTATCATAAGTTTGGTGAGCGAATACTGCAATTAAAGAATGATCAATTGTGGTTAAGAGGCCAAACGAACTCAGCATCTTTGGCTGAATTTCAGCGTGTAGAGGAAGAGTTACAATGCATTGAGAACCAGGATGATGCATACTGGAGACAGAGAGCTAAGCAGCACTGGCTGCAAGGTACAGATGCGAATACAAAATACTACCACAGGTATGTCTCTCATCGCAAAAAGAAAAACACTCTTTTAAGAATTTCCAATGATAATGGGGATTGGGTGGAGGGAGAGGCTATGAAAAATGTTATCCTGGATTATTGTGCTGATATTTTCTACTCTAGTAATCCCCCTGATGGTCATAGTATTTTTCAAAATGTTATACCAAAAGTCTCACAAGCACAGAATGATTTACTCCTTCAACCCTTTACTGTGGAGGAAGTCAAGCAGGCCCTTTTCTCTATGTTCCTGATAAGGCACCTGGGCCTGATGGTATGAATCCAGGCTTTTATTAGCATTTCTGGGATGTGGTAGGTCAGGATTTCTCGAGTTTTGTTATTGAATGTCTTGATTCAGGAATAATGCCACCTGCGTTGAATGAGACAAATGTGGTGTTAATCCCAAAGAAAAATACGCCAGAGAAGGTAACAGATCTGAGACCCATAGCCCTAAGCAATGTCATTTATAGAGTGATGGCGAAGATGATGACACTAAGAATGAAACCCATGATGGAGGGTATCATTTCGGATTCACAGAGTGCGTTTATTCCAAATAGGCTTCTTACTGATAATATTTTGATAACAGCAGAAGTGGGACATTATCTGAACAGGAAGCAGTGCGGGGCTATTGGCTGGGGGGCTCTCAAGTTGGATATGGCAAAAACCTATGACCGTATGGAATGACCTTTCCTAGAAGGAATGTTTAAGGCTCTGGGTTTTAATGACAAGTGGGTGAATCTTATTATGATGTGTGTGACCACGGTGTCATATAAATTTTTGATAAATGGTATGAGTACCCAGCCATTCATACCCACCCGGGGTCTCAGACAAGGAGGTCCTTTATCCCCATATCTGTTTATTATTTGTGCTGAAGGTCTGTCCTTGTTACTGCAACAAGTGCAAACTAATTGTCTGGTTCATGGTTGCAGAGTAACACGGGGTGCCCCACCAATATCCCATTTATTCTTTGCAGATGATAGCTTGCTTTTCTTTAGAGCAAACCATCAGGAGGCAAATCAGATTAAGAATTGTTTATCTATATATGAGAGTTTATCTGGACAAATGGTTAATTATCAAAAGTCCAGTATCTGCTATAGCAGGAATACGGGTGAAGGAAACAGAGATGTTGTGGCACAGATTTTGGGAGTGGTCCAGGCACCTAATTTTGGGAAATATCTGGGCTTACCACCATTTGCCGGAAGGAATAAAAGGGGGGCCTTTGCCTATATTGAGGATAAAATTAGGCAAAGGATTGGATCATGGAGCAAGAAGCTACTGACACAAGCGGGAAAGGAGGTACTATTGAAAAGTGTGGCTCAGGCAATGCCTACCTTTTCTATGGGTGTCTTTCTATTACCCAGTTCTACCTGTACAGCTATTGAGAGAACAATGAACCGCTACTGGTGGGGTTCAGGCACAGACAGGGGAATACACTGGAAAGCATGGGATACGTTATGCATCCCCAAGAAATATGGAGGTCTGGGTTTTAAGGATCTGAGAGCATTTAATTTGGCAATGTTGGGTAAACGGGTATGGAGGTTGCTTACTAAACCTGACTCATTAGTGGCTCGTGTATAAAAAGCCAGATATTATCCTAAGGAGTTTCTTTACGAGGTAGGCATGGGGAATAATCCTAGCTATTGTTGGCGCAGTATTATGGCAGTAAAGGAGCTAGTTTGTGGTGGGGTAAGGCAACGAATTGGGAATGGAAACACTACCTTAGTATGGGAGCACCCCTGGCTACATGATGATTTAGATCCAATGATCCGAACTGAAATGCCACCACAGTTAGCTGGAACTAGAGTCGTGGGTCTCCTGGATCCAAGTACTGGTTCATGGGACTAACACCTGCTCATTGATATTTTTCGACCAGATGATATCCCAAAAATCCTCAAGATTCCAGTATCCTCAGGTTATGATGATGTATGGTATTGGCACGGGGATCCTAATGGTTGTTACTTAGTCAAAGACGGTTATAGACGCATAGTTGGAGACTATCCTAATGCTAATAATGGGGTTTTTGATGGATGGTTAGCCTTATGGAAAATCAAAGCACCCCCCAAGTGGAAAACATTTATATGGAGAGCTCTAAGTGATATCCTCCCCACTAAGAGCAATTTGATTATAAAGAGAGTAGAAGTGGACCCGATGTGTGACATGTGTGGGATTGCTCATGAAAATATTTTGCATTCATTAGTATCGTGTGATTATGCAAGATCCATTTGAACCCCATCTAGCCTCCCAATCCCCAACATTGTGACAAATATTTTCCATGAATGATTTAGTGCACTCCTAAATGTGCTAGACACTAATGGAATATTGTATGTAGCTTCTATTTTATATCATATATGGAGAGCAAGAAATAGAGCTATTTGGGATGCCTGTCTACCGTTGCCAACGAAGGTGCTTGTGGAAGCTATGGCCACTATGCAAGCGTGGAACACGCTACATCACCGAACGCCCACACCAGCCGCAAGGGACCACCACACGGCCGATGGAGCCGGTCACACCGCACAGCAGGTTGGCCTCCAGTCGGTGGTCTCTGTTGTGGCCGAAGACATGCATCAACCGCCGCTGCCACGACCCAGCCACCCCGCGAAAACATCAAGACCCAGGAGATGCTACATGGATGCAAGCTATCACCAGGATACCAGCTCAGCAGTGGTGGGGGCGGTACTACTAGATGCCGACAATCACTATGTCTCGGCTTTCAGCGCCCCACTACTGAATTGTTTTTCCCCACTCATGGCTGAGGCATACGCGTGTAAAGAGGTTTTATCATGGTTAAGAGGACGTGGCGAAGATTCAATACGACTACATACTGACTGTCAGGCGCTACAACGCTATCTATGCGCACCGAATATCCCGTCCAGGTCATATGTTGGATATGCTATCGATAGTTGCAAGGATTTTATGTCTACTTTAAGTTTTTGCTCAGTCAATTTTGTTCCTAGACTACAGAATTTATTAGCACATACTTTAGTTACTTTAGCTTTAAATTCGACTACAGCTATGTACTGGGACGATGTCCCACCAGACTCTATTTCAGTTTATCTATAAAATACAACCACATTGGTTGACCTTAAAAAAAGAAAAAAAAAAAAAAAACTAGTTGAGGGATTTGTTGACAAAGAGATTATTCAAATCACACAACAAATTGAAGTGATAATTTCCTCGCAATGTCCTTGTTTGACAATCAGCAGTTAGCGGTTAGCGTTATCGGATTTGACTAGCGAATTATATCAACGGTTGGTAAAATGACCTAAGGATATACATATATTTAATAATAATAATAATAATAATAATAATTTTTTAATATATATATATATATATATATATATATATATATATATATATATATATATATATATATATATATATATATATATATATATATATATATATATATATATATATATATATATATATATATATATATATATAATTAAGCCAATCATATTAACTACTTGGGGGACTAATTGACAAAAAGAGTATTCAAATCACACAACAAATTGAAGTGGAAATTACCTCGCATTGTCTTTGTTTGGCAATTAGTAGTTAGCTCTTCAATATTAGTATATATTTAATATTTTATGCCCTAATTTTTATTTGCTCTTCCTTATGTCCCGTATTTGGTTTCAACCATACCTATACAATTATTTTATTGACAATTATAATCAATCTTGACTATATTATATTGCATTTGTAAACTTAGAATTACCTATTTAAATACGCAAGTTGAACATTCAATTATCTATGCATGAACAATTCCAATATAATCTTGCCTTGATATACTTTAAAGTACTTATTTAAAAAAAAAAAAAAACATTGGGCATTATCCCAATCGCGCAATGCGCGTAAAAAACTAGTGTAATAATAATTGGGGCTTATTATTCCTAATGTAGTTGGACTATAATTTATTACTCTCAATTTAACAATGACTCCTAATATGAGGTCGTCTAGATTCTTATTCCTTGTAGGACTCTACGCCAAAAATATGTAGAAATTGACCCATACATGAGGAGAGAGGACACGCAAGATTCAACAATAAAATACCTATGTTCTCTCTATATATTTTCTCAATATTTTTCCCATATATTTGTTATTTTAACGTTGTTGTTGGCCAATTGTTGATTGCTCAAAAGTCATGCATAAAACCAACATTAGCATTGTCTGTGGGGATCAATACAAATAGTCTCATTATCCCTTTCATGTAAAATTATCCTCGAGCAATTATCCTCTTCGACAATATTCTGTGGCGTGTCCTGACCACCAGTTCCCCACGTCAGACCTGCACTGATTTTCCAGTGACATGGTCCCCTGATGGCGAACTAGCAGTCAGTTAGGATCCCCATTTTTACGGTAAATTATTCTGTGTACCTGGGTCTAAAAATACACAATTTATATACTGAATGTTTACAATTCAAATGGTGAACATTTTGTATATAAATTGTGTGTTTTAGACCCGGATTCATGACATACCAGTTGCATAACGAACCCTAACTGTAGAGTGGGTTCGAACTCCCGACCTCTCTTAAGGGATGAGAGTGCACGACCACTCACGTCAACCAAGCTGGTTCCTTATATGAAAATTTTAAGTGTTATGACAATGGCCAAACACCTCGTGCTTAGATTGCATGTAGTGACTCTCTCATATGGGAGGTCATGAGATCGAACCTCAGTGGAGGCGGTGTCGATTCTTTGTACTTCAACAGGTTGAGACAGTATATATGAAGTTAGTAGTATTTAAAACCAAAAAAAAAAATATGTTATGACAATGCAGTGCCACCATCTTCGAGAAATTTTAAACATGGCAAGTCTGGTATACAAGTATGTAGTGGCAAAAAGTAGGAATATTGAGTACCCAAATTGGATTCCCCATTAGAAATTGGAACATGCATGGTCTGCGTGCCAAATTAAAGGCACAATTATGAGAAATACATTAGGTGAGCATGGAAAGTTTTGGTAAATGTAATCTTAGTTACCATTTTTCGAAGGCACGACGGGTATATATGGAAATTAAACTCTTTGCTGCATGCAAATATGGCAAATATGGGGAAGGGACCAGCTGTATGCACGTGGTATCAGATGGGGATAAAAATGAGGAATACACAAAGTGCTATATTCCGGCGGAGCCATAGAGGAAAAGGAGGTCTGTTCAACTATACCATCGGTCATTGATCGATATCTCTGGAACCCGACCAATCGGACCACCCTGCCTTGCCGTGTTGGAGGCCGTTGAGCACCCCACGAAGCCCTGCAACATGCGAACATGATTGATTATTTATCGGAAAGCGAGTCCCCACCAGACCCTTCCGGACAAGACCACTCACAAAGAATTCGAGACGACTTTTCAAACTCGAACTCTCTTTTAAGAATAATTACTCCTTTGACATCTCATTTCTAATTTAGTAATTGACTTTTAAAGCTACCAAATTTACTCCTTAAATATTGAATCATTTCTAATTGTAATCAACTGTTAACTTTTTTCATGTTTGAATTATTAACATTGAGAGTAAAATTGAAGTCATAATCATTGCACCAGTTGTTTCTCACATGCGGGAAACAATAATGCTCTAATTTTCTTATTCTAGTAGTCATAATTTTACCCTCAATTTTAACCGTTTGCACATGGAAAGCTTACAATGGATTACAATTGAAAAAAATTCAATACTCAATAACTAAATTTGGTAGCGCAGCTTTACAAGTCAATGACTAAAATTAGAAATGAGTAATAACTAGAGGACTAAATCTCAAATTAACACTATATATTTTCCTTTGTAAATTCAGTAAATAATGCTTAACGAACAAAAATAATCCTATAGCTAATTTTTTTCTAAATGATTAAGAGAACCGAACTAAGAAAAGACCAATAACAAAGTGAAAGAAAGGGCAATACTTTTAAGGCAAAAGCATATTTTGATTCTCTTCAACCAAATGTGTACATTCCGTGCCAGTTAGTATAAATGTATTTCTCAACGAGCTTATGAGTTTCGGACTTATCACACTAAAATATTTTAGTCCTAACCCTAAAATTTATCGGTCTAATCGGGCCATTCAATACATCAATTTCGAATTAAGATAGACATCCCTACCTACAATTGTCACTGACAGACACCCACTTTTTGATGTGGCAAAGTGCCAAATCACAAACATGTAATAACTGACATGCAACAATCCCCATCACAAATATGCAATAATTGCCAGATTATGGAGTGACTATTTAATTTGTAAATGGTAAATGTATAGGTATGTAGCATGATTCATAAAACATTCACATTGGCTTGGTAGATATATAGCTTAATAGCAATTTGCAGTATAGCTAAGTGGCAAATTTGCCTCTTATTCATTGCTCTTTTAATGAAAATTCATGATTTCTCAATTCAACTGCATACATTTCCACTATTTTCTTTTCCTCTTAAGCCATTCCATCAACAGATTGAGGACATTCTTCCGTTTGGATCCTCATAACATCTATATAAGATTTACTATCCAGCTTTCGACCAAAGAAGCCTCTGAAATAATCTGCGACTCCCACTTTCCTGAACTTGGCTGGATTTTGAGGGGTGATCAAACTTGGAGCAGGACCCAATTCTGCGTCAAGTCTGGGGCTCAGAAATGTTGCAACAGACAGCCTTTCCTTTTCGGAGTTTACTACTGCTCGATGCTCAACGCTACTGTAAATTCCATTTGTCAGTATCTGCAAATGAACCAAAGAAAAACTGATTAATCAAACCTACCTACATATGAACTGTACTATTCTTTCATTGATTTTCAGTCTTGAAAATAATTTTTGAATTCATGAATAACCTCTAAAATATCCCCAATGTTGACGACGAAGGCATCATGGATCGGTCTAACAGGAATCCACAGGCCATCTTTCTTGATCTGGAGACCTTCCATTTCATTGAGTTGGAGCAGGATTGTAAGCCCAACTGAATCTGAGTGAGGATAAAGTCCTATGACTTTGTCTGGTTGGGGACAACGCGGATATTGATTCATCCTCATAGACTGCATCCCATCCTCGAACAATCCTCGTACATGTTCTTGCTCAATCCCCAGAGCTTTTCCTAAGTAATCAATGATTGTGAGGGCGAGATTTCTCAGTTCCTCTGCAAACATTTCCATTGTTTCTCTGCATGCATGAAACTCACAATTATTTCTAGCTTAATAAAAGCTAAGGGGGGATCAGAAAATACAGTCACACAGACCTGAATGGCAAAGGAATATTTGGGAATAGATTTGGTTTCCTCAAGTAAGTTGGGGAAGTGATAATATAGAACATGTCACACCAGTCAAGTTTTTGCTCATCAGAATGCACAAAAGCTTGTCCGAAGCCTTGAAGATCTCCTGCCTCTTGCCAAAACTTCTTCTTCTCTTCCATTGGGAGATTGAGGAAATCTTTTGTATCAGTTTTCACTTTTTCAATCAATGAAGAACTCACTCCATGGCTTATTAGCTGCAACCAACACAAATATTTAGTAATCTCAACATCGAACAAGGTATCTGTCCTCTGATCTTGTGACACTCAAAAGTTAAATTTTTATACTAATCACTAAATTCTTGTTGGAAAGTGATGAAGACAAACCTGAAAAAACCCCCATTCTTTGCACGCAATATCCAGCTTCTTCAGCTCCTCGGAGTCTCCTTGAAGCAAGTTTGACATGTTGATCACCGGAATTTCTCTCTGCGCCGGTGCCGAAGGGTCAAGATCATCACGAAAGTAACGTGGCGGGACGATTTCCGGCGATTGTTTGGCCAATTCTTGAACACAAGGTACTTGCAAAGTTCCCCCGAGTGTTCCTGATGATATACTTCTCTCCATGATATGATGCCCAACGCAAGTTTATCAGAAACTGTTTGATAGCACTACCTAAAGATATTGCTTGGATATATATATATATATATATATATATATATATATATATATATATATATAGGGAAGGGATAAGTGCATTTGTTGCTTCCCGTGCGGTTGTGCGGTTGATAAATGTGCGTGAGGTTTATACTTAATGTGCGTGAGTGTTGTTCTTAATGTGCCTGAGATTTGTACTTAATGTGCGTCATGTTAATATGCGGGGTGGTTGAATTTTTTGTGCAAATCTGAAAAGCAAGAGACAAAAATGGGTAGAAACAAAAAGGTGGATAAAAATGTGTAAAGTACTAAGCTGATTACCTTCTTCTCATTAGGGTTTTCAAGAAGAAGGTAATCAGCTTACCTTCTTTAACAAAAAAAAAGTAGAAAAGCTGACATAAAAGAGAGAGAAGAAGGTATTAAGAATACCTTCTTCTCTCTCCTCAATTATATGTAATTTTTTTTATTTTGTTAAATAATTAGATTTAAAATTTATATTATTAAATATAAATTATACCATTTTAAATATCTCATTGGGACGATCGAAACAAGACTAATATTGAATATATTATTATTATTATTATTAATTGTTGCATGCAATGTAGTGTACTGTAGTGTAGTGCACTGTAGTGTATTATTATTATTAATGATTATTATATTATTTTTATTTTTATTATTACGTGTATGGTATGTACTGTAGTGTATTATTATTATTATTATTATTATTATTATTATTATTATTATTATTAATGACACTAGCGTATTAGTTCTATTATAATAATAATAATAATAAAATTAGTACCGTAGTGTAGTGTAGTTATTATTATTATTATTATTATTATTATTATTATTATTGACAGATATACCGAAAGACCTGAACAGTCGAGTCGCATTACCGATTCAGAAAGCGAGCAGGAAGAAGCCCCAAGTACTATTTACAATTTTAAAATCTTTGTTTATGTGATTTTTTTTTTTTGAAAACTTTATGTTATTAATTAATATTTGATAAAATAAAATTTTTAAAAAATAAATTCGAAGTAATCAAAATTGCAAGGGTTGTGTTCTAATAAAATATAGAATTAGGAAGAACATTATCAATTCTTTAATTGCTTTGAAAATCATATAATTACATATATTAAACAAATTAATGGTGTTTGCAATTCTAAATAATTAATATATTATTAAAGAAGTCAATAGTTAATTTTTTTAAATAAACAAAGTGAAAAGAAGGCAAAGTAATTCCCTTCTTTTGTGACACTTTTTGGTCAAAGCAAGAAGAATGAAAGAAGCTATTGCCATTACCTTCTTTTCAAATAGGGTTTTGAAAAGAAGGTAATGTCATTGGTACTTTACACATTTTAGTCTAGGGTTTTTAATCAACACATTTTTGTCCAAGTCATGTCAAAAGTACACATTCTTGGCTATGTCCCTAATATGCGTGAGTTTTGTACTTAATGTGCCTGAGTATTGTGTTTAATGTGGGTGAGATTTGTGTTTAATGTGCCTGAGTATTTCAGAATTACGAGCTCAGAAGGAAGCAGAACAGAAACTCACGCACATTAACGCCCAAGCTTCTTGTTACTTCTTCCTTCAATTTGGCCATGTATTCTGGATTATTAGCTACCTTCAGTGCAGTTGAATGTTTATATAAATGACGCACTCACAGTAAAATTTGCACAGTAGCTAAGTGTGGATTTCTGTTGTATTATTCCCATAATTCTTAACTACAATAGCTCGCCTCCGCATCATCATAGAGGGGCATCATCATCATCGGGGAGGGAGCAATGGCTACTGGGGATGGGAAGAAGCTTAAATCTATATTTTCTGCTGCATTTTACACATTCACGCACATTAAGTACAAATCTCAGGCATATTAGACACAACACTCACGCACATTGAGTACAAATCTCACGCACATTAATAACCGCACAACCGCACGGGAACCTTTCACTATATATATATATATATATATATATATATATATATATATATATATATATATATATATATATATATATATATTAGGGACCAAATAGAAAGAAATTTTAAAAGTGTGAAAATCATCATTTTGATTCTTGAAAGGGTTTTATTGATGAAATTTTAAATAATTTGAGGATAAAATTGGTTGAAATTGAAAAGTAGGGACTACATTGACAAAGTGGAAACAATTGAGTGACCAAAATGTTGATTAACTCATATGAAAACTATATCTGAGGTGAGAACAAGAGGAGTACACACAAACTACGACACAAATACACACGTGACTACTATAGGGTCTCCATCGTCATCCAAACATGCGTGGGAGTAGATTGTGTGCATTTATAAAGCAGTAGTTCGCATGTTTTCACCTAAAGCATGGCTTTTGCTATGAAGGAGGCTTTTTCATGGGTTAAAGAGAAGCATAACGCAAGCGTTGGTTTATTGTGATTGCCAGAATGTTTGCCATTTGCTGAAGGCTTCGTTGCCGGATTATACGTATACATGCAGGTTGTGTTCTCGAGGAATGCAGGCAAATTCAACGACACGTTAATCATGTGTCTATCGAATTCATTTCTAAATCAGTGAATAAAGCTGCTCATGTCTTAGCTATGGCGGCTCGTTCTCAATCTGGTCCTATTGTTTGGTCTTTTTCAATTCCAAGTTGTATTGAACATTTGGTTTAATGAAGTTATGTTCTTGGTTTTCAAAAAAAAAAATATCAATTTTGGTCCTACGAGTATTAGGAAAATGACGGTTTTGGTCTACATGTTTAATGCCTACCAATTTTCATCCATGACTATTGTTTTAGTACCAATTTTTATCCAATTTTAGTACCAAAATTCATCACACCGGTCACTTTTCCATTTAAGACATGCTAAAATCTAAAAATTTTAAAGACATTTTTGTCATTTTCAACTTAAAATTTAAACATGAATAAAATGATTTAAGCCCTTAAAATCGATAACAATTCGCAATTCTCCTCTTCATCGTTCTTATTGCTGGTACATGATTTTGTAAATAATTACTCTGTATCGTTTTATTCATATAAATATCACTCTTTTTTTTTTTTATTTGTAATGATAAATACAGTATAACATTTTATATTTGTATAATTTTTCTTAGAAAACTAAGGGTGTCTTTGGTTCACACATGGGAATCGGAATCGGAAATCGGAATCGGAAATCGGAATCAGAATGACAATCAAATACTTGGTAATAATAATGGATTTTGGTGAAAGTATTTTCTATGTTTGGTAGTTAGGGTGAAATTAGAATGATTACCAATATTGATGTTTGGTTATATATGATCTTATAATGAGAATAAATGTTTTAAAAATACAAGAACAAAAAATCAAGATAATTTAATATAAAGATATTCAAAGCACCAATATGAACAAAATAAATAAATAAATAAATAAATAAAATAAAATCTAAAAGCACTAATCCAGATTTAAAAATCAAATTACCAATTAGGAGGAGAATAATGGAATGAAACACTTATTTTATTAGGGAATTAGTTTTCTAATTAAGGGGGTAATCAAATCTCATAGTAGTGCTTTAGAAACTTATCAACCAAACAATAACAAAGACTTTGATTACCATTTCTGATAGATAAACCCATGAACCAAACACGGAAAATTATATCATGCACCACGGTGCATAATCGATTATGCACCGCGCATCAAAACGACGTCGTTTTGTTTTGTTTTTTTTTTTTTTTTTGTTTTTTTTTCTTTTTTATAAAAAAAGACTTTATTATCAAAAAAAGGCCAAAGCCAATACAAAAAAATGGACTTAGGCCCCACATGGCCTAAATCCTGCTAACTAATCTAAATAAACTAAATAAAACGAGATTACATAACGAGGCCCCCGGGCTCTAACATGCATGCCCCAAGTCCCATACTAGCTATCACTAACCAGAACGCAGACAAGAGTATAAACATCAAGATGTGAAATAAGTAGCCTGTGAAGCTGCTCCGAAAAAGTGCACGCGCAGCCCAACTGCTTCACAGCCCACCATATAGTCCGAAGCTCAAATAGCAAGGAATAGACACCTCGCGTGTCACCATCATACTACCTCCCTGCCAGTTGCACTATAGCGACTACACACCATAATGCAGCGTAATCGGGCTGCACCACGACTGTAACACCTCCCTAGTGCTATTGGCTGGCCCGTAAAACAAGACATGCCATACAACAAGATAGATACATAGCTAGCAATGGCACGCAGGCCTAATTCGAGATACATAGCTAAAGATGGCACGCAGGCCTAAGAAAAAAAGTACAAGGTAAATCACAGGCCATAAAATCAATCAACATAGCACAAGGCAGCCAATAGCAGAACTCCCGATCAGCACCAGTACGAACCAGAACCAACCCTAACGGGATTAGCTACTATGGGCCAGCAGCAAGCCTGGACTACAGCCAACGGATTTGAAAAACACCTACCCAGCCACCGTTCAGCCCGGGCTAGGATGCAATTTTTTACCGCTTGCATCGGCGTTGAGACCTGGTCTGTCCCAAAAAATGCCTGCAAAGGCGAAACCAAAACAGCCCAAGACCAGTTCATGCCTCCGAGGCCAAAGAAATAGCACCTGCAAAAAAATAGAAACAAGATAGAACAACCAAGCATCCTGTTCCCCTGACCCAACTATAATTTCTACCTCGGGTGAGTGTTTAAGGTTATAACAGGCTGACGCGAACAAAAAGCAACCCCCCAAATAATAGCCCATCCCCCCCCGGAGTCCAGAAGGAACGCAGCTACTATTGACCAGCACCAAGCCTGACCAGGTCAACGGATTTGACTAGTCCTGCCCGGTGCACCGTTCAGCCCGGACTAGGGTGCCATGTTGTACCGCCAACACCTTACGTTGAGACTCAGTCCTGCAGGCAGGGCCTCATGGCCTCCAAAAGAACCTCACACACTCTCTGCTTTTAGCTCACATCCACTCTTTCTTTTACCTCTCCAACTCTCATTTTCCTCTAACTCACTCCATTCCTTTTCACTCCTTTCTTTTCATTCTCCTTTCTTTCCCTTATTCTTTTTTCTTTTCTTTTTCTTTTATCTTTTCTTTCTTTTCTTTTCTTTTCTTTTCTTTTCTATTTTTATTTCTTTTTCTTTACAAACAACAGCTTACAGCAGGAGTAATAGCACAATCACGGGGGGTCATCAATCTCAAAAAACACATAGGGCACATCATCATGTATCAGTAACGCGCGGACCCTAGGCGGCAGATCATTGAGGTTCCGAAAGATGGCCTCACCTGGCTTATCAACCACCCAATCAGCTAGTGCCTGCGCAGGCAGATTGGCCCTAGACGGGCACACAACAGCAGTAACTACCCCGCAGGAACACAGGAATCGAAGCCTGGACACCACACTATCTAGAATCCACGGCGGACGAA